TTTTTTTTAATGATGCGATGTATCACATAGATTGATTTTTTAATATTGAGCTACTGTTGCATCCTGAGAATAAATCCCAGTTGATCATGGTGTATAACTTTTTAAGTAAATTGTTGGATTTGATTTGCTAAAATTTTGTTGAAGATTTTTGCATCTGTATTCATCAGAGATACTGGCTTAAAGTTCTCTTTTTAGTGGTGCCTTTATCTGGTTTTGGTATCAGGGATACTGGCCTTCTAGAATGAATTTGAAAGTCTTCCTTTTGTATTTTTTCAAATAGTTTGAGAAGAATGGGTATTAACACTTCTTTAAATTCACCTGTGAAATCACCTGGTCCTGGATTTTGGTTTTGTGGGAATTTTTTTGATTACTGATTGAATTTCATTGCTGGTGATTGGTCTGTTCAAATTTTCTTTTTTTTTAAAGTTATTTTGTGTGTGAGAGAGAGAAAGTGTGTGCATGTACAAGTGAGGGAAGGGGCAGAGAAAGGAGGCAGGAGAGAATCCCAAGTAGGCTCCCCATTTGTCAGTGCAAGCCCGATATGGGGCTCATTCTGAGATCATGACCTGAGTCGAAATCACCAGTTGGTTGCTTAGCTGACAGAGACACCCAGGTGCCCGGTCTATTCAAATTTTCTATTTCTTGCTGCTTTAGCTTTGGTAGGTTATATGTTTCTAGGAATTTATGCATTTAAGTTGTCCAGTTTGTTGGCATGTAGGTTTTCATAATAGTCTGTCATGATTGTATTTCTGTGGTGTTTGTTGATATTTCTCCTCTTAGTAATTTTATTTGGGTTCTCTCTCTTTTTTGTAAAGAGTCTTCCTTCTATTACTTTTGTAAGTTTCTATATCTTTATTTCTTGTTTAATCTTTATTATTTCCTTCCTTTTGCTGTGGTTGAGTTTTTTTTTTTTTTTTTTTTTTTTTTTTTTTTTTTTTTTTTTTTTCTGGCTCCTTAGGTGTAAAGTTAGGTTGTTTGAGATTCTTTTTGCTTCTTAAGGTACGCCAGTATTACTATAAACTTTCCCCTTAGAAGCACTTTTGCTGCATCCCAAAGATTTTAGACCTTTGTGCTTTCATTTTCTTTAGTTTCCATGTATGTTTTTATTTCTTTTTTGCTTTCTTGGTTGACCTGTTCATTGTTTAATAGCATGTTATTTAAGCCCCATGTTTTTGTGCTCTTTCCAGATTTTTTTCTTGGGGCTGATTTGTAGTTTAATAGTGTTGTGGTCAGAAAAGATGAAGCATGGTATGACTTTCATTTTTTTTAAATTTGTTGAGAGTTTTTTTGGTGGGCTAATATGTAATCTCTTCTGGAGAATGTTCCATGTGCACTTGAAAAGAATGTGTAGTCTGCTGTTTTAAGGTGGAGTGTTCTGAATATGTTTGTTAAATTCATACGGTCCAGTGTATCATTCAAAGCCACTGTTTTCCTTTTTGATTTTCTGTGTTGATGATCTGTCCATTGATGCGCTTGGGGTGTAGAAGTCCTCTACTATTACCATATTGTATTACTATTAATTGTTCCTTCATGTTTGTTGTTAACTGTTTTATGTATTTGGATGCCTCCATGTTGGGTGCATAAATATTTATAATTATATTTTCTTGGATTGTCCACCTCATTATTACTTAGGGCACTTTTTTGTCTCTTGTTGCAGTCTTTGTTTTAAAGTCTCTTGTCCGACATAAGTATTTCTACCCTGGCTTTCTTTGTCATCCATTTGCATGATAAATGTTTCTCTGTCTACTCTGCAGGTGGCTTTTGGTCTGAAATGAGTCTCTTGTAAGCACCATATAGATGGGTATTGTTTTTATATCCACTCTGTCACCCTATCCATGCTCTTTGATTAGAGCATTTAGTCCATTTACATTCTAAGTAATTATTGATAGGTATTTATTGCCATTCTTAAATTTATTTTCTGGTTGTTACTATAGATTTTCTTTGATTCTTTCTTCTCTTGGGTGTCTTTCATGGTTTGTTGGCTTTTTTAGTGATATAGTTGGATACCCCTCTCTATTCTTGCATGTTTATTACTGGATTGTGATTTGTCATTATCATCGCGGTTGTATATGACATTTTCTACATATAGCAGTCTATATTAAGTTGATCACTGCTTAAGTTTAAACCTATTTTTTATTCCTCTCCCTCCCACCTTTCAGGTATATATTGTCACATTTTGCATCCTTTTATTTTATGAATCCCTTGACTGATTTTTACAGAAATACTTATTTTTACTGTTTTTGTGCTTTTTATTTTTCATATTCTCATTTAGGGTCTTTCCTTTCCACTCAAAGAGTCCTCTTTAAGATTTCTTGTAGGGCTGGTTTAATAGTCTTTTTGTCTGAGAAACTCTATTTTTATTTTAAGTAGGCTTCACACCCAACATGGAGCCTAATGCAGGGCTTGAACTCATGACCCCAAGATCAAGACCTGAGCTGAGATCAGGAGTCAGACGCTTGACTGACTCCTCCACCAGGTACCCTTGTTGGAGAAACTCTGTGTCTCTTTCGATTCTGAATAGTAGCCTTTCTGGATAGAGTATTCTTGGCTGCAGATTTTTCCCTTTTAGCACTTTGAATATATCATGCAACTTCCTTCTGGCCTGCAGAGTTGCTGCTGAAAAATTTGCTTAAAGCCTATGGGGTTTCCCTTGTATGAAACTGTCTTTTCTCTGGCTGCTTTAAAATTTTTTTCTTTATCCCTACCTTTTGCCATTTTAATTACTATGTGTCTTGGTGTGGACCTCTTTGGTTTCATTTTTTTTTGGGGGGGGGTGGATCTCTGTGCCTCCTGGATTTGCATATATGTTTCCTTCCCCAGATAAGGGAAGTTTTCAGTTATTATTTCTTCAGATACATTTTCTTCCCTTTTACCTCTCTCTTCTTCTGAGATCCCTATAATGTGGATGTTATTAGGCTTGATGGAGTTGCTGAGTTCCCTAATAATGTACTCAATTAACATAATTTTCTTTCCTCTCCTTTGCTCAGCTTGATTACTTTCTATTACTCTATCTTCTAGGTCATTAATTCATTTGTCTGCCTCATCTAGCCTACTATTCTATCCAAGTGTATTTTTAGTTTCATTTATTGTGTTCTATATTTTTGTTTAATTTTTTGTAATGTTTATTTATTTTGGAGACAGAGACACAGAGCACAAGTGGGGGAAGGGCAGAGAATGAGGGAAACACAGAATCCAAAGCAGGCTCCAGGCTCTGAGCTGTCAGCACAGAACCTGACAACAGGGCTTGAACCCATGAACCGTGAGAGCTGAGGTCGACACTTAACTGACAGCCACCTAGGCGCCCCTCATTTATTGTATTCTTGATCTCAGGTTCTTTTTTATGTCTGGTTAAGGGTCTCACTGATATCTCCACTCTTCTCCAGTCCAGTAAGTATCTTTATGATCATTACCTTAAATTCTCTATCAGACATAGTACTTACATCCATTTTGCTTTGATCTCTTGCTGTGGTTTGGTCCTGTTCTTTCATTTGGGAGATATTTCTCTGTCTTCTTATTTTGTTTGACTTTGTGTAGCTGTTCCTGTGTGTTGGGAAGTCAGCTACTTCTCTTGCTCTTAGCGATAACAACCTTATGAAAAAGAGGTCCTGTAGTGCCCTGTAGTACAGTGTCCCCTGTTTCCCAGGGCCTGGTGCTTCAGGGCTTGTTTGCTCTGTGTTTTGTTTGTGCTCTGCTGTTGAATCTTGGTTTCTTTTTCCTTCAGTCCAGTTGTTGATGCTGTCTTTACTTCTTATGAGTAGCAAGGTGTGCAGTGGTCTTGTTGTGAAATTACACTGCTGCTGGAAATGAGGTCCTGCGCAACAGGTGGTTTAGAACATGTGTTATTGGCAGAGTTTGCACCATGCCTGTGGGGGAGGGGTCTTGTAGCACCAGCACTCAGGAGCATGACTAGGAAGCGCTGATCTGCTGAAGCATACGTGGCGGGGCTTGGCATAAGCAAGTTAGGTAGCATGAATCTACACAGTGCTGGTTTCCACAGATGGCCGTTGTTTATGCTGGGGGACAGGGGAGGAAAATGGCACCTGCTAGCTCCTTTGTTCCTGGAGGGGTCTCCCCGTGATCCTTGTCTCTCCAGGCCATGTTCTGAGATGAGCAAATCACTGTATCTTGTCTGCCCCTGGCATTTTTCAAATTGCTGGTTCTGCACTGCATCTGCATGGCTGTTTTTCGTGCCGTCTTTCTTAAGGCAGGGACTCTGTCTCCTAATGCCTGAGCCCAGCATGCCGAGTTTTTAAATTCTAGGTTTTAAGTCCTGTTGGTTTTAAGAACTAATGAAATTTCAAAGGCAAATATGGAGATTTGTCCTCCCTGTTGGCAGCCTCCCTAGTGTGAAAGTCTGTTTTCTGCTCTTCTCTGCGCCACTGGCTCCTTCTCCACTGTGGCTGGCTGCCATCCCTTTTGCTCCCAGGCTGTGTCTTCACGCTTTATACCTTCTTAGATGTGGCCTCTTCCCTGCCTTTAGTTGTGGAGTTTGTTCTGCCAGTCCTTGGGTTGTTTCCTGGGTTGTTTCTACTGATAGTGTGATCTGGTTGTATCTGTGGGAGGATCCAAACTTTGGGTCCTCTTACTCTGACTTCTTCCCAGCCAATCTCTCCTATTTACTTTTTAGGGCCCTGGCAAATAGCTTTCTTTGGTTGAAAGAGTTAACAATTACCCTTGGTGTAAATTATTCAGTTTAGTGCTATCTGTATTTTACTAAAAAATACTTAAATGTTTTTTTGTTTTGTTTTGTGTTTTTACATGTGGTATTCTGGAGGGGAGAGTGTGGTTTAGTGGTAAAGGTAGCAGTCAGGTTGAAGAATTGAGGAATGAGTGAATTTGAGAAAATGGGAGATGGAGAGCCTAAGTAGTACTTTACCATACACTAGAGGAGGAAGAGAGGAGTTCTTGGCATTTCGAGTTTTGTTGGTGTTAGGCCTTTTGAAAGATGTTAAAGTTGAATACCTGTCTTACATAATTTGTCCTTTTCTTAACGTTCCTAGCCTCCACCAGGCACTGTGAAAATGCCCAATGTACCTAGTACACAACCAGCAATAATGAAACCAACAGAGGAACATCCAGCCTATACACAGATTGCAAAGGTTAGTTCATGTTACAGTGTAAATTTGTATTGGAAATTAAAGTATCAGTAACATCTTCAGAGCAAAAGAATTCTTTATATGTTGCCTTATTTAATTTTAACTTTCTTTTCAATATGTGTGAGCTAGTAACATTTGCTTTATTCTGTTATTACCAGTTACTGAATTCATAGATCTTCTTGGTGTACAGTTTGTTTAGGGAAAGTTTTATTGCCTCTGGTTTCGTTTTTTAATGCCTAGTACTATTATAGTACCGATGATACTATAATTGGAAGTATAATGTTGTATAGTATAGTATAATGATACTATAATTGGAGGTATAATGTTGGAAGAGAGTTACCATGGCTAAGCAAAGGACAGTGATTGGAAGCAGCAGGTGGCAAAAATATGAGAATAAAGGAGACAAATAGGATACCTCATTTTACATAAAAGCAGATGGAGTTACAAACCAGACTTTCTTAATCATATCCTTCTTTCATCTCATTGTCTTTTAAAATAGAAGATGTTATACATATTCTTGCATTGGAAACTGAATGTACCATTTAAGCAATTCTTAAGAGGCAATTCAGTTGTCATTTTTTCCATTTTTTTTCCAGTTCCCTTTGTTCTTCATTCTCATTTAGGCACAGAGGTCACCTTAATTTTATTTTCCCAATTACCTTAGGACTCTGACTAATCTTATTGAGAGAATTTTGTCCTGTCCTAATGTGTCCCACATTCTCACTGATGGTTTTCATAACCAAAAGACCCAAAATGAGCCAAGTATCTCCATAATATTTTCTGAAACTATAACCTTGAGCGAATTACTGTATTTTGGAAGAGCATTTGAATTAAGTTTCTAGCATTGTACAGTTGTACTCTTGATCTTGGGGTTGTGATTTTAAGCCCAATGTTGGGTGTAGATATTACTAAAAAAAATAATAAATAAACTTAAAATTTTCTAAGATTGTAGAGGGAGAGATAGTAGATAGCATAGCAGTGTTACAACTCTAAAAACCTATTCATGTGTTGATTTTTATTATTACTATTTTTTAAGGAACATGCCTTGGCCCAAGCTGAACTTCTTAAGCGCCAAGAAGAACTAGAAAGAAAAGCAGCAGAATTAGATCGTCGAGAACGAGAAATGCAAAATCTCAGTCAACATGGTAGTATCCAAAGAAGTTTGAAATGAAAATAACTTAAACACTTTAAATAATGCTTGTGCTAGCTCTAAGTCCTTTGGTTTGTGGATAAAGCCATGCCCTATTTTCCTGTTGTAGCAAGATCAGAAAGCAGATTTCCTACTTGTTGCTTTGTAGCTTTCTGATATTGGCTGATTTACATAGTCTTTTGATTAAAACACTGTTAGCCTTATAACACAGAAAGTGAATGTGAATATGATAATTTTGGGTTTTAGCCAGGAGCCTGATTCTGTACTTGGGCCCTTGTTGAGTCTGTTGAAGTTTTGTAAGTACCTGGAAGTGTGCCCTAAATTTGACTCTTAACTTCTTGTTTAGTCAGTCCAGTTTCGAATTATCTGCCCCAGTCCTCACAAGTATAACTTATCTGTCAAATTGTGTTTAAAAAATGTTTGGTGTGGGGCTCAGTTGGTTAAGTGTTGGTCTTTGGCTCAGGTCATGATCTCGTGATTCGTGGGTTTGAGCCCCACGTTGGGCTTTGTGCTGACAGCTCAGAGCCTGGAGCCTGCTTCGGATTCTCTGTCTCCTTCTCTGTCTGCCCCTCCCTGCTCATGCTCTGTCTCTCAAAAATAAATAGATGTTAAAAAAAATTTTTTTTAAATGTCTGCTGTGACTCTGGGAAGCATTGGGGTTCTCCATGATGCCAAGGAAGTAAGTGATGAATTGATCATTTGCTGTGAAATCTAGACTGTGAGTATCAAAAGCCACTTCAAGGGAATATCTTAGGGAAAGATAGCAGTGTCTGCTTAAGAAGGGTTGAAGAGCTAGACAGATCATTGGTATTATGTCTAGGATAGTGATAGAATAACAGGGCTAGGTCAACAACAATATACTGAACTATCTCTTCCTTATCTTAGAATGTGTAACCCTAAGTCCGGAAAGACAGTGTAAGCTTTCACTCATATGTGGAATTTAAGAAACAAAACCAGTAATCATAGGGGTAAAAAAAGAGAGGAAAACGAAGGAACAGGCTCAACTGTGGAGAACAAACTGATGATTACCAGAGGGGAGGTAGAGGAGGGGATGGGTTGGGTATGTGGTGGGGATTAAGGAGTGCACTTGTGATCAGCACCGGGTGTTGTTTGGAAGTGTTAAACCACCTAATTGTACACCTGAAACTAATACTACACTGTATGTTAACTCACAAATTTAAATAAAAACTAAAAATATAGTGGTCTTGGAATATCAAAAAAAAAAATTGTAAGTCTAGGACCTTGTGAGGACACATTCATCCTTGGCCGTTTTGTTGATGGCAACATTAGAGATAATATCTATAAAATGAGAAACTAAAGGTTTATTTGAGATCAGTGTATCTGAAATACCTGTAATAAAATCTGTCCTTTGTCCTTGGTATTGACTAATACAAGTTATTTCTATGAGAGCTATTTTAGTAAAGATAGTCAAAAAGAGTGGGAAATTAAAAGTTAGACTTGGCAGTGTGCTTTACATGTAAGTACTTACCATCTATTAACTCGTTTAATTATCATTGTTATTCCCTGAAGGGTGGTATAATTGATATTCTATTGTTATTTCTACTCTGAAATTTATGAAGAAACATAAGATTTTATAGATGTAGAAAGTCTTTAGAAGTTTAAGGTGCCCAAGACCCCCTAGCCAGTAAGTGACTAGGCACTTATGTTTTTGGATCCTAGTTCTTCTATTACTATTCACTGCTGCTCTCAACTAGTATGAGACTTGTATGAGAAATGTATACGAAATTGGAAAAAAATTAGGAACAGTGCAGACAAGTTGGGAAGAATAAGACATAGGTCATTCTTTTTTTCCACTGTAAAATTTTCTTAGTCTATATAAAGTGTATAAAATCTAATGTTCACAAATTATGGCATATAATATCTAAAATGAGAAGTGGCCTTTAGGTGCTATTTTTACCTTCTGTTGTTAATGTTTTGACTTCTTGCTTTAATTTTTTTTTTT